GGGAAGGGAGGTGGAAAGGAAGTGATTCGCCTGTTAGGCTGATCCTGTATCATTTAAGTTTAAATGCAAAGGACTTGAAGCAAATTTCCTAGAAGGTAGACGTTGTGAGTTGTCTTTTGTGTTTCGTGCGAGTCAGGCAAATGTTGGCTAATAGACCTATGCTTAAAGGGAAGAGATCTCACTTGGATCTTCTTGTTCTGTCAGATCATACACTTCTGTCATGATGAGAAATGGCACACAAATTCCAAATTTGATTATCCCTCTGGGATGTCTTTGCATGTACTGAGCTGTGACTCCTCGGTGAAGTTTTCCCTGCTCCCAGATGCTAGTTTTGATGCATAAGTTGGGTCTAAGTGACATAATATTAAGTTTCTACTGCAAAATATATGAATGCAAAATAGTGTGGTCTTATTGAATAAGTAACTGAACACTTGCTTGTTCTCTTGCATTATTATTCCAATGTTGTATGAGCTTGAAATGGCTGTTGGTTCCAATAAGATAGGAGTGTTTTAAAAATCTGTGCACAATCCAAAGTTATTAATTTGAAATATAACTGGAGAAGGAGACGGTGGCTAATATTAGTGTGTTAGTGTTATTTATTAAACATATGCTAAAAGGATAAGAGCAACTGTTTTTATACCACCAATTTAACTCTCATTCCAAGAGGATAACGCTATCTTGTCAAGGAAATATCTGCTTTGTATTTTGCGAGTAGATTAGATGTTTAGCTAAATTTTTAGTGATAAATACTAATACTGTTGCTAACACAGAGGAGTTTTATTGCTAGTAATATAACAAAGTGCTTTGACTACAAATTAAAATATTTGGGAGGTGGCTTTGGACACTAATAATTAGTTACTTGGGGTTTCTCTGTTTTGGGAAAATTGAAGTAAAATTATGTGTTAAAGGTATGCATTGAAGATCAGCAATACTTACTATTTCTTACATGCCTAATACATATTTGCTGGTTTTCTTTTCTTTCGTTTTTAATATTTCCTCACGTTCACTGTTTGGAACGCTTTGAAAAGTGTTCTTTATAATTTTAAAGCTGTTCAAAGTGCTGACAACTCCTCCATCACATTCTCTGCTATCAAACAGAAGGGGAATGGAGCAGATTCTTACTGGTTCATAAGAAAGAAGTTGCAATGCTCCTCAAATAGTGGTTCCCGGTGGTCTTGCTGATCCTTTAAGTCTTTTAGTTTTGTGGATATAAACCACTTAGGAGTCTTGTGGTAAGGAGCAGAAGTAATAATGGCTCATGAGATGGCTTCTTTTTAAACTTTTCCATTGGTATAAGTTTCTCAACATCTTTACTTTAGTTTGTAGTTAGAGAAGAAGGAAATATATGTTGAAGAAATCTACACTGTCCAATTGTTAAAGTATTTCTAGGTCTTATGTAATAAGATACATTTTAAATTTAGAAAGGCAAGAGAAAGTGAAATTGGAATGGAGTCTGGTGATATTATTTATTCTGTGTCTACAGTGTGCTGTTTTCTTTTCATAGAAACAGAATAGATAGTTTCTGTTCAGAACAGTCTGTTTTGGGGTGGAAAAAGGGATTTTAGCCAAGGATCTTTATGCTTTCATGCAGAAATTTATAAACTGGGAAAAGAACTTGCTCTCTCAATGAAAAAAATGCACAGAATTGATCCAGCTTACAAGCTTCTGAAGATCATTGTTTTCACATAACAGATTTTTTAGAAGTTTCTGGCCAAAATATGAGCAGATTGCATTTTTACTAATAGAAATGCGTGACTTTAGCACCATACTGTCGTTCAGCAATTTTTGATAGCAAGGAGCATTGTGGTTCTGGGCACTGGATCAGAAAGAAGTGAAACTGTGCAGTTAGCCGGCTCATTGGCACCATATCCATATAGAGGAGGAAACATTCTGATCTGCAACATGTAGAGAAGATGTTAAGAAAATTTCAGGGAGAAATTCTCTTCTTGTGAAGAGAAGTACTGGGGGTAGAGAATACAAGATCAAGACAAGACCCAAAAGTTGACAGAGAAATGGAGTATTATGTGTAAGACTGCAGGGGCAGAGCAAGAGGTGAACACCGGGCTGGGGACTACAACTTCAGAGAAGGAAAAGGGGAGAAATGTGCAAGGAAAGATGTAGCTAGAGCAGTCTAATCACAAAGTAAGCCCATGTTCTAAACCAGAAGGTCCTTAAAATCCTCTGCTATTCAATGGATATCACTACAACCCATAGTAAAATAGTCATGGCCTTTCTTAATATTGCGCTTCTTGAATTCAAAAGGAACCTGAGCCTAAAAATACTAGGTAGTAGTGCATGAAATGAGGATGAACTGTGGTTGCACAGATACAAATGCTTAAAATGCTTCATAAATGCATGTTGCTATGTTAATCTACCATTTCACAAAAGAGGATCAAAATTTGGAATAGGTTGCTCAGGGAGGTGTCAGCCTTGGAGATAAGCAGAACTTGACTGGCCTGAGCAATGTAAAAGAACTCTGAAGTTGGCTTTGAGTAGGGACCAGATGTCCTCCAGAGACCCCTCCCAGCTTGACTTATATCTCAGCACTTATTTGATGAAAGAACATTTAGTTATCCTTTTTCTTCGTTGTTAGTAGTCTTGTTCATTTAAAGATCAAAATGTGCATCACGTTCACAGTCATCTCTACATGCCATACATGCATCAGGCCTTTAATGCCTTTGCTCCAAATCGAAGAGAAGACTTGGGATCTTATTTATTTGTCAAAAAATAATCATTTACAAATTAGAGCATATGCAGTCCAGTGAACTCAAATGATATATGTCCAGTTATTTCAATGAAAAGATCAACGAGGGACAGGTACAGATCAGTACAGCTTGTTGCACTTAATAACACATGGGCAGAGTTTAGAAGAGTGCATACCCAGGTGAGACCAGAGTTGGCATCTAGCCTAGTATCCTCTCTCCAGCAATGGCCAGAAGCAGATGCAATGGGAAGAATTTAAGAGCAGGGAAAACGTACATGATACTTCTTAATATTTTGCCAAACTCCAAAGATGCAAACCAGGAACTTTGTGGGATAGGTACCGTTTCATGAGTTTACTCGTTTTCCAAGAAATTGTCACTCATAAGTTTATCCAGTTTACCTTTAAATCCATATTAAATTTTAACACCCACAATTCTATTTAATAACAAGCTCAGAAGTTCAATCACAGTGCGCCTTGTCTGCATCACTTTGGAATATATTACCTAATTTGATATATTATCTGACAAGTGCTAATGTAACACTTAAATTCTATGAACCAAAGTGGGGTAAAAATGGAAAAAATGCTTTATCCAAGTCCATCACCAGAAGGAGTCATACTGGACAAATACCTGAGAATCCAACAGTCTTAAAAAAAAAAAAAACCCAAACCAAGAACCAAAAACTAATCAGAGATTGAAAAGTGAGGCAGGGGGAACAAACTACTCTTGAAGACAGTAGGAAAACCAGTGTGTTCATTGTAGGAATTATTTCCTGCAATTATGAAACATGCTCTCTAAGTAATAATTAAACTGAGAACACCTGATGAAAAGCAAGGACTTAAGGACCAGAAATTACTTTTGAACAAGCAGCTCTGTGAACAAGCAGATCTGTGATTATGCTTACTGCAGCTTAATAATTTCAACATGCATTCACCAGTGCCTTTCACTTCATACCGGAAGTAAAAAATACGGGAGTGGAAAATGTTTTCTTCATACCTAGTGGTTAAATACTGAAAACTAATGAAAATGTGTATTGCTTCTTAAAATATGCCTATAATCTTTTGTTAGCCATGTTGCTTAAACTGTCCATAGTGTTTTGGTAACGTAAGATTTTCATTTTCTGTGCGGACTGTTAGTTTGTACATAGTAAATATGTGATAGTTCTCTTATTTGGACACTTGCAAAGAGAAGCAAATGAGATAAGTGCCTCAAGCACTACTTTCTCATCAGTGGTTTTTCAGGCGGCCAATATATTTGATACTACTTTGGTGTAAAATAACTTGTATTGTCTGTATAAAGACTAAAGTCTTGTGTTTCATTTGTTCCATAAAATGGCAGAAGAGGCTTGTATGCTGGAACAGTTACCTCATTTTCTGTTACACAGATCTGATGATTAGATACTATATAAAATGTATATTTTAGAACAGCTCTTTATCGGTGATTTTATTGTACAGTTTGTCATCATTCTGCAATTATGCACTGAAAACGTACTTAAAGAGGAGTATTTGGCACATTTCAAATACGAAAAAATAAATATTTTGACACCCTTTAGTTAGAAACAAATTAAGTGAATTGGTATTGTGATTTACAGTGTAACCTTTAAATCTGACAAAGAAATAATTGGTGCTTTTTCATTAGATGTAATTAATTTATTCAGCACAATGTTGGTTCTTCACGTATTCTGAGAGGTTCTAAGATACCTTGCAAATAAAATTACTGGGTTGTGAATACAGCTTCTCTTTGACTTTTTTTTAAAGGGCAGAAAGGATTCATGCAATTCCCTCGTTTTTACCATTGAATGACTTATTTAAACATAACCAGTTTTGCATGTCAGACCGCTTTGAATGAGTGTAGATTGTTGTCCATAGCTAATTTTTTTGACTAAAAATAAGATACACTTTGCAATGTTAAATCATTTATGATAAATCATTTACTGTCATCATCTGCAGATGGTATTTATGCTAATTTTATATAGTTTACCATTGTCAGTTAGTTTAAATGTTGGATTTTGCATCTCTTGCTTATTTATAGATTTATATTGCCTATGATTCAGAGGAGTTTGCGATAGCGAGGTAACTGCTCGCCTGTAGAGAGACTCAGTAGTAGCAAATACTGTCTATTGTAAAGTTGTAGCTTTTTGTTTTGAGACATATTTTTCATTTTTCAGACAGTGGTGCTTCCTGAGTTACATTAAGAAGAATACAGGAATTGCTAGCGGATGTGGTGTTATTTTTAATCTTGAAGTTAAGTAGACTAATATATGGCATTCACTTAGATGTTGGGGTTTTTTCCTAACAGAAAGCTTATCATCACACTGGGTAAGAAGCAGAAAAGAAAAAATGAATCTTCAGATGAATTATCTGATGCTAAGCAGACTCCGCAGCAGCCATTGAAAGATGAAGACTCCCAGGTAAGTAGTCAGAATTTTTCCCTTTTAAATGTGTATGTGTTGTTATTTCTACAGGTCTTTTCCCCCCGCCTCTCTCCAAAAAGTTAGACTCCGTTTGCCATACTGACAGTTACTCTCTCACTGCTGTCTGTCTCTCATAGGTAGAACCTTACATTATCAGCTACTTTTCCGAGCTGAAAATCAGAAAATCCTACAGGTTAGAGTCCCCATTTAATGGGACATCAGTGCCCTGCTTGTATCTGTTTCATTTTAGTACTGAAGTCCATAGATTTGAGACTGTAAGTACTCATCTATTGAGCTGGCATTTAGACCTGATCCTTACTTTGTCTGACTTTGTGGGGAAAATTCAGAGATTGCCTAATAGAAGGGACATTTATCAGTGAAACTGGCTCTTTGAGAACATTTAAAAGACTTGTTTCAAACTCTGCTGTTTTGTCTGAGCTCTGCTTCTGTCGTAACTGAAAGAATTGGTTTCTTGCAGTGTTGGATCGGAAGGGAGCCATGATCAATACGTTGATAGGCTCTAGTTGCTTGGGGAATACTTCTGAAGGAAGTGCCAGATCAAGAATTAAAGTGGTGGAGTCATTCCCTTGAGGAATATCTCCCCTGTAACTTACTTTCTGCAATTTTTTTATAGACTGCCCTGGTATAATAGTAGCATAGCTAATTATTGACAAAACTTATGCACAAAGAAATATGAACTGTTTGTAAGAGTTTATATCCTATTTATGCATATGTTAGTAACAGAATTGTAACTTTCTTGCTTAGGGCAGACTCCATTAAAAGTAAGGTTATATGCTGGAAATGCACAGGTTTTTATCCTGTGGCAGTTTCATCCACAGAGATTAAATCAATATTCAAAATACGGTGTTGTTGAGTAAAAATTAATTGCATTATTTGATGACAGTGTCAGAAAACAATTATGAGATACTGAGTTGGTGTTTAGTATTTCACAGATAATAATGCTGGGGGAAAAAGGATCAGAAGCCATTCCCCAGAATGACTTTTTATTAACTTTAAGTGATAGTTTGTCTTAGGTAAAGGTTACCTGGAAGGGAACATGAAATTATTTATTTCTCAGGGAATTTGTCTTGGTGTAGAAAGTCCATGTAGTACACTGAAGGAGGTGAAAGCAGGTTTGTGGTTCTAAAGTACTGTAACTTATCAATAGTGTTCTGTAATCAGATAGGTATAATAATACAAAAGACTGAAGGTAATATCTTTTTTTTCCTCATTCCTTTTGTTTTTTTGGATATTTGATTTTTAGCACAACGAGGATCATCTTCAATTCTAGCGTGGATAGACAGGGAGTATCATCAAATCACATGATCCTGGTGTGAAGGGAACAGAGGGTAGAGATAATAAGGGGTGGCGTGGGACAGAAAAAAATGATCCTGCAGGATGTCACAGCACTGCCCAATCTATCTTCGAAGGAGTTTGGGAGAAGTTTAACAGGAAAGACATAAGTTGGCTTTACTTTATAGATGTCTATTTCTAAGCTCTGGGGAGCAATTTTAGGTCTCCCCCCCCCATTAATTTTGTATGCTTAGTTTCACAGTGTCTTCCTTAAATATGTTGATTTATTTCTTGGAAAAATGTGTGTGATACTACTTTATTTTGTGCCTTAGAGCATTTGTTTATGCCGTGGTTCTCAGCGCAGGGAAATACAAAGTTTTTGGGTTCCCTCCCGAAAACAACTCAGGTTATATATTAATATGTTGGAGAACATATGTTTGATGTTTTGTTAATCACTTCATACTTTAAGAAAAGCCATAGTGAGAAGGATCGAAAATGCCAGTTAATGCCTCATTAGGTTTTAAAAAATTCAACAAATACTTGATGAGTAAAACTTGATCCTTCTTTTCCTAATTCATACGTCATTTTGCATTGGTCGTATTAGCTTGCATTTAAAGAAAAAAAAAATCTACTTCTGTGAGCAATTGTTGATTTAACTATAACGTAACATTTTATGTCCCATAAATGTGTCTGTTTAAATATGAAGTTTCCTTTTGTGCTAACACCCCACCCCTCACACGCTCACTTTTTATTGAAGAATAGCTAATCTGGCTACATTATTGTGGAAAGCTGATTGAGTAGTTTCATATATGCACTGTCCCAGCTTCTCCAGAATGGTGATGCCCATTCTTTGATTTTTACTGTATATGTAATGTTACTACTCTACCTTGCTAAAATACTTAAAATGTAATTGTTAAAAGTATGGCTAGGTCTTTCACCAGATACCAGCCAGACCAAGGGCTGTATTTAACAGTCAGGAAGAAAGTTCTTGTGCTGCAATCTTACTGTTACTTAATACTGGCTCTGCAGAAGCCAGTATGACCACAGGATTTTGGTTTTTGTTCTATTCACAACTTGTTCTCCTCCCAAGTGATTACTGCAGTGTATTGCAACCAACAGTGGCTTTTCCTAAACAAAAATATGCTTTGCTGTGTAGCTCAATATAATTAATTTATTTTATAGAGACTATTTTACTTTGCTGATTTTATTTCTGTGATGATGAGTTCTCTAAAGCAGATTGCAGTGTTTTCAAATGTTAGCTGACTAGTTTGATTCTGCTATCATTATTTATCCAGTGGATTTACAAATTAATCTTACGGTTAAATATGCAGTGTCTCATATATTGGTACTGAGGGGTGAAAAGGATATGCAATATCCTAACAATCTAAGTATTTGAAACTTAAACAGTGAGTGAGAAGGAATTATTTTCTTAGACTGAGCATTATTTGTCCAACTGGAACTTGTTGTCCTCAGGTTCTTGCAGAAACAAGAGTGGAAGATTAGAGAGATAAACCGCAGAGGAAGCCAAATGCTGCTGTTAAACAAGCTTGATTAAGGTTGAAGAGAAAACAAACATATTAACAAAGCAACAAACTTTATTAACCATCAAATCAGACTTCAGCAATCTGACCAATATTTTCTAATTAAAATTTTCGTAATTTTTTGTACAGCACTGTTTAGTAGAGACACTTCAGCATACTTTGTATCTTTCAGATTTTTTAATTGGACAGTAACACACTGCTGTTACGCTGCATTATGAAATTGTTGTTGAAATACTGATGCCTATAGGAGATCTTTTTTATATTT